ACTGCTGCTGCTGCTGCTACTGCTGCTGCTGTTGCTGTTGCTGATAATAAAATAATAATAATAATAATAATAATAATAATAATAATAATAATAAAGATAATTATTATTATTATTATTATTATTATTATTATTATTATTATTATTATTATTATTATTATTATTATTATTATTATAAATATAAAATCATATAGCGTATTTCAACTGACAAAGTACATTTAGTAACTCGGTTTTTGCTTGCTCCTTCAACAAAGCCAGAGCGCTGCGCGGGTTCTTTATAGTGACTTCGTCTCGTCTGGCGTTGAACCTACATAATAATTATATTATCATGTTAACTAGAGCTGTTGCCTTTTCTGTGCCGTCTGGTAAAAGGACCTACTGTTTCCTCGACCCTAAATTGTTCACCCAAATACCTTCAACTTTAACACGAACAATAAAAGGATGATGATGATTAGGCGGTTTCTACACAGACAGAGTAAGTCGTAAATGTGCTATCAAAAAGATCTGTAAGAGCAGTCTTTCATTATCATAATTCTCCTGCTCACTGAAGCTTTAAGGCTGTGGGAAATGTTTGGTTCGGGGGTACTGGATGAGATCATCTTAGCAAACTACGATAGATTGGTAAGCATTTTTAAAGATTATTTTTAGGCACTTTATTTTTTAAAATCTGATCTATACTGACTGAAATGTCTCTACGCCATTCCCAAAGATATGGGGGGGGGGGGGGGGCATTAACCATGTTCTTATACACGGTAGAATTGTAAATGAGCTGATTCATCAATGTCATTCTCATAACTGTGCCTGAACTGCAACAGAGAACTGCTGCTTTTTTGTTGTTGCTAATCCTTACTTTCGTCATTTTTTCCTCTACTTCTTTTGTATGTTTGTCACAATCTTGTGACCGTCTATTTCCGGGGTGCCTTGATAGTCGAAGCACACTTTGTGCTATTGAAACTAGTGAGGTGAGCACAGTAAGCCTGATTTCCTGTAAGGTCTTCTCTGTTGACATCCATCCCATTGCGCCCATAGGGCCGTAAAGCCTCTACTAAAACTAAAATATCTGATCAGGTACTGTTAACGCTGGCTATCTAGGATAAAAATCGATGGCTCCACGGCCATCAATTATAATATAGGGACGGAGCATCAGTGCAATATGTTACGCTCAACTACTCGTTTCGTGTTTTGTTGGGGGGGAAGGGGGGGTTTATTTGTAAATTTGGGCGTGTATGGAGCACCCAAAGTTCTCCATAGTTCAAATATATCAAAGAAGGCGTTAGGTTCATTTTTTAGCTCTCTGTACTTCTCAGAGGTTCGTTTGTTTCATGAAGTGTTCATTTGCTGTTCGGGGAACGAATGATAGTCAATTTGGACCTATAATGAAAACTTTCACACCTTATGATACAAGGTATTTTTGAGCCTCTTCCCCCCTTTAACATTTCGAATGTGTTTAACCTAGTTGGCAGATATGGGCCAACTTGGGGTCACAATCGAGGTGGTATTGTACTTATGACTAGATCTCTGTGGAGCGCAAAGACACAGGAGGAATATACTTCACTTTACTCAAGAAAAAAAACAGCCAAGGACGGAAATCTAACTTACGGCAGCTGTGTTACAAAACCAACCCATGAAATGTATCAGTCAAATAGGAAGAGACAACCTCCCGCCGCTCCCCCCCCCCCTCCACCCAATTCCCACCCCACCTCCACCCCCATTTCTAATAGACAAGAATTATACAAGTGAAAGACAGAGGTCTGGTGAGAACTAAATTTTCTTTGACTAGCAGTAACCATAAAGGAGTGAAAGGTCATCAATATTTTTAATTTTCAATAAAACAAAATGTTACGCAGCATCGCTTGTCAAGCTGAAGAGCTCTCGTTCGTCATAAGAAGAGCATATCTATAACAACAGCAGCAAAAAAACAAAAACAAAAAACATCAGGAAGAACATCGGAAAGAAATAAAACACCTGTGCGTTTTGAGGACTGTACATTGACATAATGATATTATGATAAGATGTTATCAGCATTTTTTTTCATACTCCACAAATAAACACTCACGCGCATACACACAAAGAAATGTACACCTAAGCATGCATTCGTTTATTCCTGATGAGAAAAGGGAAATGGCGATTTTGAGAAGTCAAAGGGGTCAGGAGTATCGTTTATGTAAATGTTGTTCTGAGAGAAAAACAATTGGTAGTTGTCAAAAAACACCAGACTTTTTCTTTACAGACATTCAATTTTTTTGTATACACATTAAAGGTGTGCGTGTGTGTGTGTTTGTGTGTGAGAGAGAGAGAGAGGGGGGGG